ACCTGCAACATACACCAGGCAGGTACAGTACCTCGACTCCTGCAACATACACCAGGCAGGTACAGTACCTCGAATCCTGCAACATACACCAGGCAGGTACAGTACCTCGACCCCTGCAACATACACCAGGCAGGTACAGTACCTCGACCCCTGCAACATTCACCAGGAAGGTACAGTACCTGCAACATACACCAGGCAGGTGCAGTACCTCGACCCCTGCAACATACACCAGGCAGGTACAGTACCTCGACCCCTCCAACATTCACCAGGCAGGTACAGTACCTGCAACATACACCAGGCAGGTACAGTACCTGCAACATACACCAGGCAGGTACAGTACCTGCAACATACACCAGGCAGGTACAGTACCTGCAACATACACCAGGCAGGTACAGTACTTGTAACACACCAGGCAGGTACAGTACCTGCAACATACACCAGGCAGGTACAGCACCTGCAACATACACCAGGCAGGTACATTTCCTGCAACATACACCAGGCAGGTACAGCACCTGCAACATACACCAGACAGGTACAGTACCTGCAACATACACCAGGCAGGTACAGTACCTGCAACATACACCAGGCAGGTACAGCACCTGCAACATACACCAGGCAGGTACAGTACTTGTAACATACACCAGGCAGGTACAGTACCTGCAACATACACCAGGCAGGTACAGTACCTGTAACATACACCAGGCAGGTACAGTACCTGTAACATACACCAGGCAGGTACAGTACCTGCAACATACACCAGGCAGGTACAGTACCTGTAACATACACCAGGCAGGTACAGTACCTGTAACATACACCAGGCAGGTACAGTACCTGCAACATACACCAGGCAAGTACAGTACCTGCAACATACACCAGGCAGGTACAGTGCCTCGACTCCTGCAACATACACCAGGCAGGTACAGTACCTGCAACATACACCAGGCAGGTACAGCACCTGCAACATACACCAGGCAGGTACAGTACTTGTAACATACACCAGGCAGGTACAGTACCTGCAACATACACCAGGCAGGTACAGTACCTGTAACATACACCAGGCAGGTACAGTACCTGTAACATACACCAGGCAGGTACAGTACCTGCAACATACACCAGGCAGGTACAGTACCTGTAACATACACCAGGCAGGCTAACATAGTACCTGTAACATACACCAGGCAGGTACAGTACCTGCAACATACACCAGGCAAGTACAGTACCTGCAACATACACCAGGCAGGTACAGTACCTGCAACATACACCAGGCAGGTACAGTACCTGCAACATACACCAGGCAGGTACAATACCTGCAACATACACCAGGCAGGTACAGTACCTGCAACATGCACCAGGCAGGTACAGTACCTGCAACATACACCAGGCAGGTACAGTACCTGCAACATACACCAGGCAGGTACAGTACCTGCAACATACACCAGGCAGGTACAGTACCTGCAACATACACCAGGCAGGTACAGTACCTGTAACATACACCAGGCAGGTAAAGTACCTGCAACATACACCATGCAGGTACAGTACCTGCAACATACACCAGGCAGGTACAGTACCTGCAACATACACCAGGCAGGTACAGTACCTGCAACATACACCAGGCAGGTACAGTACCTGCAACATACACCAGGCAGGTACAGTACCTGCAACATACACCAGGCAGGTACAGTACCTGCAACATACACCAGGCAGGTACAGTACCTGTAACATACACCAGGCAGGTACAGTACCTGCACAACATAACACAGGCAGGTACAGTACCTGTAACATACACCAGGCAGGTACAGTACCTGTAACATACACCAGGCAGGTACAGTACCTGCAACATACACCAGGCAGGTACAGTACCTGCAACATACACCAGGCAGGTACAGTACCTGCAACATACACCAGGCAGGTACAGTACCTGCAACATACACCAGGCAGGTACAGTACCTGCAACATACACATACAGTCCGCTAAGGATACAGTACCTGCAACATACACCAGGCAGGTACAGTACCTGCAACATACACCAGGCAGGTACAGTACCTGCAACATACACCAGGCAGGTACAGTACCTGCAACATACACCAGGCAGGTACAGTACCTGCAACATACACCAGGCAGGTACAGTACCTGCAACATACACCAGGCAGGTACAGTACCTGCAACATACACCAGGCAGGTACAGTACCTGCAACATACACCAGGCAGGTACAGTACCTGTAACATACACCAGGCAGGTACAGTACCTGCAACATTCACCAGGCAGGTACAGTACCTGCAACATACACCAGGCAGGTACAGTACCTGCAACATACACCAGGCAGGTACAGTACCTGCAACATACACCAGGCAGGTACAGTACCTGCAACATACACCAGGCAGGTACAGTACCTGCAACATACACCAGGCAGGTACAGTACCTGCAACATACACCAGGCAGGTACAGTACCTGCAACATACACCAGGCAGGTACAGTACCTGCAACATACACCAGGCAGGTACAGTACCTGCAACATACACCAGGCAGGTACAGTACCTGCAACATACACCAGGCAGGTACAGTACCTGCAACATACACCAGGCAGGTACAGTACCTGCAACATACACCAGGCAGGTACAGTACCTGTAACATACACCAGGCAGGTACAGTACCTGCAACATTCACCAGGCAGGTACAGTACCTGCAACATACACCAGGCAGGTACAGTACCTGCAACATACACCAGGCAGGTACAGTACCTGCAACATACACCAGGCAGGTACAGTACCTGCAACATTCACCAGGCAGGTACAGTACCTGCAACATACACCAGGCAGGTACAGTACCTGCAACATACACCAGGCAGGTACAGTACCTGCAACATACACCAGGCAGGTACAGTACCTGCAACATACACCAGGCAGGTACAGTACCTGCAACATACACCAGGCAGGTACAGTACCTGCAACATACACCAGGCAGGTACAGTACCTGCAACATACACCAGGCAGGTACAGTACCTGCAACATACACCAGGCAGGTACAGTACCTGCAACATACACCAGGCAGGTACAGTACCTGCAACATACACCAGGCAGGTACAGTACCTGCAACATACACCAGGCAGGTACAGTACCTGTAACATACACCAGGCAGGTACAGTACCTGCAACATTCACCAGGCAGGTACAGTACCTGCAACATACACCAGGCAGGTACAGTACCTGCAACATACACCAGGCAGGTACAGTACCTGCAACATACACCAGGCAGGTACAGTACCTGCAACATACACCAGGCAGGTACAGTACCTGCAACATACACCAGGCAGGTACAGTACCTGCAACATACACCAGGCAGGTACAGTACCTGCAACATACACCAGGCAGGTACAGTACCTGCAACATACACCAGGCAGGTACAGTACCTGCAACATACACCAGGCAGGTACAGTACCTGCAACATACACCAGGCAGGTACAGTACCTGTAACATACACCAGGCAGGTACAGTACTTGCAACATACACCAGGCAGGTACAGTACCTGTAACATACACCAGGTTATTATTATTATATTGATAGAGGAGCGCCAAACCTGTAAGAGTCATGCAGACGGGAACGGGAGGTGACGAAGTTTGATCCGGAGAAGTGGAGGTAATATCTCCCCTTCCCTGAGCTAAGAGCTCTTCACAAGCTAGAGCTGAAAGAGCTGAGAGCTAGAGAGCTGAAAGAGCTGAGAGCTAGAGAGCTGAAAGAGCTGAGAGCTAGAGAGCTGAAAGAGCTGAGCTGAGAGCTAGAGAGCTGAGAGCTAGAGAGCTGAGAGATCTGAGAGCTAGAGAGCTGAGAGCAGAGAGCTGAGAGCTAGAGAGCTGAGATCTAGAGAGCTGAGAGCAAGAGAGCTGAGAGAGCTGAGAGTTAGAGAGCTGAGAGATCTGAGAGCTAGAGAGCTGAAAGCAGAGAGCTGAGAACTAGAGAGCTGAGAGCTAGAGAGCTGAGAGCAAGAGAGCTGAGAGAGCTGAGGGAGCTGAGAGCTAGAGAGCTGAGAGCTAGAGAGCTAGAGAGCTGAGGGAGCTGAGAACTAGAGAGCTGAGAGAGCTGAGAGCTAGAGAGCTGAGAGCTAGAGAGCTAGAGAGCTGAGGGAGCTGAGAGCTAGAGAGCTGAGAGAGCTGAGAGCTGAGAGAGCTGAGAGAGCTGACTGTCAGCCTGCACATGCTCTTGCTAAACATCTCTGTTACAATACAGTGCAATACAGTGCAATACAGTGCAATACAGTGCAATACAGTGCAATACAGTGCAATACAGTGCAATACAGTGTAATGCAGTGCAATACAGTACAATACAGTGCAATACAGTGCAATACAGTGCAATACAGTACAATACAGTGCAATACAGTGCAATACAGTACAATACAGTGCAATACAGTGCAATACAGTGCAATACAGTACAATACAGTACAATACAGTGCAATACAGTACAATACAGTGCAATACAGTGCAATACAGTGCAATACAGTACAATACAGTACAATACAGTACAATACAGTGCAATACAGTGCAATACAGTGCAATACAGTATCCTGTTGCAGCTGTATCCTGCAGGATGTAATTACTAAAGGAATTCCACCCTTTGGAAAGGGATAATGGGATCAGAAATGGGGAAAATTAGGGTGAAAATAGAAAGAAATGGGGAAAATAGGGATGAAAATGGGAAGAAATGGGGAAAATAGGGATGAAAATAGGAAGAAATTGGGAAAATAGGGGTGAAAATAGAAATGGGGAAAACAGGAGTGAAAATAGGAAGTAATAGGGAAAATATAGCCAGAAATATAGCCAGAAATTAGGATAAAATAGATAGAAATGGTGAAAATAGGGCTGAAAATAGGCAGAAATGAGAAAATCGGTAGAAATGGCAAAAATAAGGGTGAAAATAGGCAGAAATGGTGAAAATAGGGGAAGATATGGGAGTTGGAGGTGCCTGGCACTGCTCAGAGCCAGGCAACGGACCTGTTGAAATGTGGTGTAGGTGCCAGTCTGGTCCCCACCTTCTCCTGGGCACCTGGCACTCTGCCTCCACCCTCTATACGGCCCTGTAGTGGCACTACTCTCGCTCTCACTCTTAAGTACTCTCAAGAGTACTCAAGAGTGCAGATATTGAAGTGAACAGCAGTTCAAGGCTTGGAGATAGTTCAGAGTGGATCGAAATACATGTTAATGTGTCAGGGAGAATTGTGATTGTGTTGTGAATTGTAGCAGTCAGAGTATTGTGACTGTTGTGAATTGTAGCAGCCAGGATATTGTGATTGTGTTGTGAATTGTAGCAAGAAGAGGACTGTGACTGTGTTGTGAATTGTAGCAGCCAGGATATTGTGATTGTGTTGTGAATTGTAGCAGCCAGGATATTGTGATTGTTGTGAATTGTAGCAGCCAGGATATTGTGATTGTGTTGTGAATTGTAGCAAGAAGAGGACTGTGACTGTGTTGTGAATTGTAGCAGCCAGGATATTGTGACTGTGTTGTGAATTGTAGCAGTCAGAGGACTGTGATTGTGTTGTGAATTGTAGCAGCCAGGATATTGTGATTGTGTTGTGAATTGTAGCAAGAAGAGGACTGTGACTGTGTTGTGAATTGTAGCAGCCAGGGTATTGTGACTGTGTTGTGAATTGTAGCAGTCAGAGGACTGTGATTGTGTTGTGAATTGTAGCAGCCAGGATATTGTGATTGTGTTGTGAATTGTAGCAAGAAGAGGACTGTGACTGTGTTGTGAATTGTAGCAGCCAGGGTATTGTGATTGTGTTGTGAATTGTAGCAGTCAGAGTATTGTGACTGTTGTGAATTGTAGCAGTCAGAGTATTGTGACTGTTGTGAATTGTAGCAGTCAGAGTATTGTGACTGTTGTGAATTGTAGCAGTCAGAGTATTGTGACTGTTGTGAATTGTAGCAGCCAGAGTATTTTGATTGTGTTGTGAATTTTAGCAGTCAGAGTATTGTGATTGTTGTGAATTGTAGCAGCCAGAGTATTTTGATTGTGTTGTGAATTGTAGCAGCCAGAGTATTGTGATTGTTGTGAATTGTAGCAGCCAGGATATTGTGATTGTGTTGTGAATTGTAGCAGCCATGGTATTGTGATTGTGTTGTGAATTGTAGCAGCCAGGGTATTGTGATTGTTGTGAATTGTAGCAGCCAGGATATTGTGATTGTTGTGAATTGTAGCAGCCATGGTATTGTGATTGTGTTGTGAATTGTAGCAGCCAGGGTATTGTGATTGTGTTGTGAATTGTAGCAGCCAGGGTATTGTGATTGTTGTGAATTGTAGCAGCCAGGGTATTGTGATTGTAGTGTGAATTGAAGCAGTCAGAGTATTGTGATTGTTGTGAATTGTAGCAGCCAGGGTATTGTGATTGTAGTGTGAATTGTAGCAGCCAGGATATTGTGATTGTTGTGAATTGTAACAAGATACCTGTGAAGATTTAAGACTTGTTCAAGATACCAGTAAGACTTTTAAGGCCATTTTCCTATTCAGACTTGACCCCAATCTGACCGTTTGACCTCCTGGTCAAGCTGGCTATCAGTGCTAGCTATCTGCATTCAGACAGCCAGTGATGTGATGATAGCCACGCTGACAGTCACAAGTGAACATGGTAGTGTTGGAGCAGTGTTGGCGGGAGTGTTGGAGGAGTGAAGGAGGGTCTGGAGATAGGTTTAAAGTGTTGGCGGAATGAGAATGGCAATGGATGCAGTGTTGGAGCAGTGTTGGAATGAGTGAGGGAGGCAGTGTTGGAGACAGTGTTGGTGGCAGTGTTGGAGATAGTGTTGGAGGTACAAGCAATGTCAGGCACAGCTGGCAAACGCGGTCCAAGAAACAGCAAATGGAAAACAGTCGTGGCCTTGCTCCGACGGCGGTAAGTGAGACAACCATCAACAATATATATATATATATATATATATATATATATATATATATATATATATATATATATATATATATATATATATATATATATATATATATAGAGGGAGAGAGAGAGAGAGAGAGAGAGAGAGAGAGAGATAAGCAACTATTGGCAGAAAGGTGGGCTGGTGCAAGTACGAGTAGTGGGGGGGGGGGGGTTGAAGAGGGTTGGAATAGTTTTAAAAATGGAGTATTAGAATGTGGGGCAGAAGTTTGTGGTTATAGGAGGGTGGATGCAGGAGGAAAGAGGAGTGATTGGTGGAATGATGAAGTAAAGGGTGTGATAAAAGAGAAAAAGGTAGCTTATGAGAGGTTTTTACAAAGCAGAAGTGTTATAAGAAGAGCAGAGTATATGGAGAGTAAAAGAAAGGTGAAGAGAGTGGTGAGAGAGTGCAAAAGGAGAGCAGATGAAAGAGTGGGAGAGGCACTGTCAAGAAATTTTAATGAAAATAAGAAAAAATTTTGGAGTGAGTTAAAGAAGTTAAGAAAGCCTAGGGAAAGTATGGATTTGTCAGTTAAAAACAGAGTAGGGGAGTTAGTAGATGGGGAGAGGGAGGTATTAGGTAGATGGTGAGAATATTTTGAGGAACTTTTAAATGTTGAGGAAGAGAGGGAGGCGGTAATTTCATGCACTGGCCAGGGAGGTATACCATCTTTTAGGAGTGAAGAAGAGCAGAATGTAAGTGTGGTGGAGGTACGTGAGGCATTACGTAGAATGAAAGGGGGTAAAGCAGCTGGAACTGATGGGATCATGACAGAAATGTTAAAAGCAGGTGAGAGGGGGGGATATAGTGTTGGAGTGGTTGGTACTTTTGTTTAATAAATGTATGAAAGAGGGGAAGGTACCTAGGGATTGGCGGAGAGCATGTATAGTCCCTTTATATAAAGGGAAAGGGGACAAAAGAGATTGTAAAAATTATAGAGGAATAAGTTTACTGAGTATACCAGGAAAAGTATACGGTAGAGTTATAATTGAAAGAATTAGAGGTAAGACAGAATGTAGAATTGCGGATGAGCAAGGAGGCTTCAGAGTGGGTAGGGGATGTGTAGATCAAGTGTTTACATTGAAGCATATATGTGAACAGTATTTAGATAAAGGTAGGGAAGTTTTTATTGCATTTATGGATTTAGAAAAGAGTGGATAGAGGAGCAATGTGGCAGATGTTGCAAGTATATGGAATAGGTGGTAAGTTACTAAATGCTGTAAAGAGCTTTTATGAGGATAGTGAGGCTCAGGTTAGGGTGTGTAGAAGAGAGGGAGAATACTTCCCGGTAAAAGTAGGTCATAGACAGGGATGTGTAATGTCACCATGGTTGTTTAATATATTTATAGATGGAGTTGTAAAAGAAGTAAATGCTAGGGTGTTCGGGAGAGGGGTAGGATTAAATTATGGGGAATCAAATTCAAAATGGGAAGTGACACAGTTACTTTTTGCTGATGATACTGTGCTTATGGGAGATTCTAAAGAAAAAAATGCAAAGGTTAGTGGATGAGTTTGAGAATGTGTGTAAAGGTAGAAAGTTGAAAGTGAACATAGAAAAGAGTAAGGTGATGAGGGTGTCAAATGATTTAGATAAAGAAAAATTGGATATCAAATTGGGGAGGAGGAGTATGGAAGAAGTGAATGTTTTCAGATACTTGGGAGTTGACGTGTCGGCGGATGGATTTATGAAGGATGAGGTTAATCATAGAATTGATGAGGGAAAAAGGTGAGTGGTGCGTTGAGGTATATGTGGAGTCAAAAAACGTTATCTATGGAGGCAAAGAAGGGAATGTATGAAAGTATATTAGTACCAACACTCTTATATGGGTGTGAAGCTTGGGTGGTAAATGCAGCAGCGAGGAGACGGTTGGAGGCAGTGGAGATGTCCTGTTTAAGGGCAATGTGTGGTGTAAATATTATGCAGAAAATTCGGAGTGTGGAAATTAGGAGAAGGTGTGGAGTTAATAAAAGTATTAGTCAGGGGGCAGAAGAGGGGTTGTTGAGGTGGTTTGGTCATTTAGAGAGAATGGATCAAAGTATAATGACATGGAGAGCATTTAAATCTGTAGAAGGAAGGCGGGGTAGGGGTCGTCCTCGAAAAGGTTGGAAAGAAGGGGTAAGGGAGGTTTTGTGGGCGAGGGGCTTGGACTTCCAGCAGGCGTGCATGAGCGTGTTAGATAGGAGTGAATGGAGACGAATGATACTTGGGACCTGACGAGCTGTTGGAGTGTGAGCAGGGTAATATTTAGTGAAGGGATTCAGGGAAACCGGTTATTTTCATATTCTCGGACTTGAGTCCTGGAAATGGGAAGTACAATGCCTGCACTTTAAAGGAGGGGTTTGGGATATTGGCAGTTTGGAGGGATATGTTGTGTATCTTTATACGTATATGCTTCTAAACTGTTGTATTCTGAGCACCTCTGCAAAAGCAGTGATAATGTGTGAGTGTGGTGAAAGTGTTGAATGATGATGAAAGTATTTTTCTTTTTGGGGATTTTCTTTCTTTTTGGGTCACCCTGCCTCGGTGGGTCACCCTGCCTCGGTGGGTCACCCTGCCTCGGTGGGTCACCCTGCCTCGGTGGGTCACCCTGCCTCGGTGGGTCACCCTGCCTGTGGGTCACCCTGCCTCGGTGGGGTCCCGCGGTGTGTGTGTGTGATGTGTGTGTGTGTGTGTGTGTGGAGACTCAAGTTGGAACATGGTCGTCGTTACAGCTTGGCCATAGATGGCTCAACTTTCACCTGTTCCCGGTTTGTTTTCCTCAATAACAATAAAAAGAGCGAGAGTAGAAGGAGAGAGATAGAGAGAGAGAGAGAGAGGAGAGAGAGGAGAACTGAGAGAGCGGGGGAGGAGAGAGAGAGGAGAGGGAGAGAGAGTGGGGGAAAGAGACGAGAGAGAGAGATGAGACGAGAGGAGAGAGAGAGAGAGGAAGAGAGGGAGGGAGAGAAGAGAGAGAGAGATGAGAGAGAGAGAGGGGAGAGGGAGGGAGATGAGAGAAGAGAGAGAGAGAGACGAGAGAGAGAGAGAGAGGGAGAAGAGAGTGAGAGATAGAGAAGGAAGAGAGGAAGGAGAATTGGGAGAGTGAGGGAGAGAGAAGAGATGGAGAGAGAGAGAGATGAGAGGAGAGTGAGAGAGAGGGAGAGAGAGAGAGGGCGTGAGGGAGAGAGCGAGGAGGAGAGGAGAGAGAGGGAGTGAGAGAGAGAGACAGTCAGGAAGACGAGAGGAGACAGGCAATATGTGACAAAGCTACAGATCAGCCTTGGTTGTGCTTTCGTTGTAGAGAGGCTGGAACAGCTAAGTACAAAACATGGCGAGGTATAAGAGAAATCCTCACCTATAACGGAACTTGCACATGCAAGCCTGTAGGCATATGGTGATGTTCAAAAGTGGGCCATTGCTAAATGGGAGGTGGGACACCCTAAAAAGAAGTTAGCATCAGGTCGGGTTAGGCTCCAAAACAGGTGGTCCTGGTCAAGGACAGACACGGTTACTCTGCTGATGAAACTTATTCCACCTCTAAATCGACAGGATGGGACCACTCTATAGTAGTCAGAGAAGGCGGACCCTCTTTGTGAACACTTTGCTACCAAAATGCCCAAGTTCCTATCCGGCAAGGGACCTCTTGGTAAGCTGCAAGACTGTTGTCTAAACTGTCAGTAGGTGGACATATGGCAGGAGGGTGGTGCATTTTCCTTCTTATATCACTTGGACCAAGAAAAGGCGGTGGGCCCAGACAAGTTGAGCCCAAGATTGTTGAGAAGAAGGATGTGCAGACCAGCTAGAGCACATCTAACTGCATCTTTCAGCACTGCCTAGTACAGTGTAAATGGACCCCTTATCCAATGGAAAGAGGCAACCAAATGTAGTCCCTGTCACAAAAAGAAAGAGCAGAGCAGAAATCAGCAACTACGACAGTGTCAATCTGGTCAATCACTGGTAAGATCCTCTTTGAGACTTTATTCAAGACAAAATGTCAGATTTTTTTGACTACCACTACTACTTTGTGATCGTCAATATGGCTTTCAGGAAAGAAAAGTTACTCTGCTGCTGATCTGTTTTAAACCTCTCACTAAGTTTGACCAAGTCCACTGGATGATCCAAAGTCAGCTGTGTGGTAGCATGGACATGCTGGCAGCTTTCGACGGGTGTGTGGCACCAGGGCCTCTTAGCATAACTTCAAGCACTTGGGGAATTGCTGGCTATTACGCTATGTGCTCCTCGGATTACCCTTCATGGTAGATCTCTAAGTGTAGTCTCTCAATGGAACGAATCTGCAAGCATCATATTGGGGCAAGCGTTCCACAAGGAAGCGTTTGCTGGGGTCCACTGTTATGGAATGTCTACTTCAACGACCTTCTTCATTCCCTCATCCAGAATCACATGATATGCGACGACTGTCACTGACATTCACTTATCCAACGAGAAGAAATGCAGCCTTTTTTTCTGCTAAGCTACATCAATCACCAGCTGAGAGATATATCAGCCTTGGGGAAATAGATGGAAGTGACATTTGCACCTGAGAAAACGCAACATGATGATCGTCTCTAGGCAATTATGGTTAATGCTGGTGCAGTAGTAAGGATGATGGGGACGATGTTTGGCACTGGAGAAGAAGATTGATATCTTGGGGTGAATGAAATTGACTCCAAACTAACCATGAAGAAACCATGTTGTAAATCTTGCAAACAACGGCAGCCAGGGAAAGCTTACAGCTCTTCGCAGTATCTCGATCTGCTTGACAGTTAGGGTTGCAAGATCCTGTACGAGGCACAAGTAACGCTCACACCTTGAGTATTGCTCCACTTTCTTGGTTTGCACTGCCCCCCCCTTCATCTGCGATGCCTTGTCAGAGTAGAGAATAAGAGCAAGACGTTCTCATCTATGCCTTGACCCATCCTGGATAGATCTGTCATTTCAGCATGACGCCTTCAACTTAGGTGGGTGTTGTGATGGCCTGACTGTTATTTA